TTAATATAGAAAGAAAATTTCAATTTTTACTATGTTTTATTAATAAATTTGAACACGTGATTCCATAATTACGTTAGTCACTGTATATTATTAATAGTACAAATAAATTCAATTTATTAATTAATAAATTTTTTTTGATTTTTTTATTTTTATATTTTTGTTATTTTAAATTAAATATTTTAATATTATATAATTTTTTTAATATTTTAATTATTTTATTTGATTATTTTATATTATATATATATTATTATAATTAGATTTTTAATTATATATATTATATTATATTATATTATATTATATTATATCTTTTATAAATTGATCTATAATAAGTTATGTGATTTTAAAATTCATATACAATTATTATTATCTAATAAGATTATTTTAAATATAGAATTATAAATTAATTAAACAAAATATCGAATTATAATAATATATATTTTATATTTTATTTTATATAGAAATAATTTTATTCAAAAAATTTAGCAATAATGTAATATTTAATATTTATATTATATATTTTTTAAAAATATAAGTAAAAATAGTAATAAAAGTATTTAATAAGTTGTTTTTGCTAATTTTTATTTTTTTAATTATTTTAAATTTCTAATATTTTATAAATTAATAAATTATATATTTATTTTATTTTAAATATATTTGCATGAATTTAATTGAGATAAAATAATTAAATAAACTAATCAAATATATAAATATTAAATAATAATATAATAATTATTATAATAATTATTATAATATAATAATAAATAAAATATTATCTAGTTATAATTAATTTTAATATATTTTAATAAGTAACAAATAAGTATTATATATTTATTATATTATTTTTATTATACAGTTAAATTTCTTTATAATTATATTTATTAATAATTATATTTCTTTATTTATTTTTCAGTTTATATATAAATATAATAAATAATCTTTTTATAATTATTTTTTTATAGTTATCTAATTTTTTTTCAAAAATAGTAATTATTAAAAAATTTATTATATATTAATTATTTTAAAAAGTTATTAAAATTAAAATTTTGTAATATAATTTTTATTTATATTATTATAAATATATAATATTATTAATATTAAAAAATAAAAAGCAATTTAAATCATTATATTTTTATTATTAAATTTTATATAATATTTCTTTTACTAATTTATTTTAGTAATATTTATATTATTTAATTAAAATTATAAATTTTAATTTATTAAATTAAATAACTTTGTTTTAATTATTAATTGATTAATACTAATTTTTTTATGAAATTTAAATATTAAATTTGATATATTTTTTTAAGATATAATTTCTTTTACTTAATTTATAAAGTTTATTTTATAATGCTTGTATTAATTTTGTTTTTGTTTTTGAATTTCAGTTTTTTTAAAATAAAACTATATTAGAATAATTATTATTTGAAATTAGACATATAATATTTTATTTATTATGATTAGTAAAAATTCTAGAATGATCTATTTTGATAATATTTAAAGATATTTTAAGTATCTTTTTTTTATTTTATTCTTATAATGGTAAATTGGAAAATATAAATTTGGAAACTTTTTTTGATGAAAATATGTACCATAATAATTTGAATGGTATGAAATGAAAAAAATATAATATAAGGTATATTTTATATAGTGTGTATTATTTTGTTATATTTTTTTTGATGTGCTTATTTACTTTATCTTCGAGAAGAAAATAATCAAAGAAATGCATCACTGGTTTGACATAAATAAATAAATCAAGTGATGTTAGATTTATTGTTTAAATTATGTGAGCAGTTTATTTAGGCTTTTAACTGAATTTCATATATATTACTAAAAATTGACTTTTGTTTTTTCGTTTCAGTAATGCAATACTTTTGAGTGTCACTGTAAGTGATCAAGCGTTTGCTGAATTGTATGCTTCCTCAGGCTGACAGTCGAGTCTGTAATCTTAATACCTATATAGTCAAGTTCATAATGGCTGGGCTCCAGTAGAGAGATATCACTACGTAATAACAAAAATTTAAAATGTTTAATCAACAATAACAATTGAAGGACTTATTGAGACTGTCTTTAAGAAAAACTAAAACAAGGAATAAAATAAACGTTGGAACTTAATGAGACTGCCCAAATTAATAATGTCAAATTAATGAATCACAGGAATTATTGATATGGCCTGTAAGGGTCAGTAATCAAAATTAGTTCACAGTTTAATCGAGTTCAAAGGTATGACTTATTCAGAGTAGAGGCCTTCTACTGTAAAGTTTGTACGCAAACTTCTGAAGTCAATCAAAGGCAAATAAGAGAAGATGCTTTATTAACAATCTTTATCTTTATTTGATAATTTTATATGAACCTATTTTTTTTTGTTTCAGCGAGAAGCTTTCTATTTATAAAATTTTGTTATTAATAAAAATATATATTGAAAGCTAATAAATAATTAACTATTGAAAGAATAACTATGAAAGCGGAACTCATAATCGAACTAATAAATAATAAATGCGATAACAATAACAACCACAACTACATTGTTATACGATAACATATTAATCGTGATTTCGCGAATTAAGAATCTTATACGTAACTAATTCTACGACAGTAGTCACAAACGTTTGTCACCTTGGTGAATATTTATGAAGATCAGCAAGATTAATATCAGAATGGTCGTGAATTTGACGTTCTGGTGTATGGAAGCCAGATTCTGTATAAATTGTGAGCAAGACACAAGACAGAAATAAAAGAGGAATAACCAAAGGCATAAAGGGACGCGGGAGGAAAACAAAGGAAACACAATAACGTCGTAAATACGGATAGAAAATAAATTTGCAAAGTTGTTATACTCTACTTCATGCCCCAAAATCGCGTTACTTTCTCGAATCCGCCAGGGCGACCACCGAAAGCTCGTGTCACGTGACAATTCTTTGATGACGTCAACAATGAGAAAGGGTTAGGGGTTGGCTCTGGGTCAAGGTTATTTGGCAAACAAAAAATGTTTTCATAGTAAATTTCGCAAGGAACATTTTTTATTAGAACACAAAAGATAGTTTCATAGACTAGATTTTGAGATAAAAGCTTTTTTTTTCAAAAAATATGTCTTTATGTCTTTGTTTTGAATTTTTGTGTTACACGTTGATTTTGCAATTTAATTGGTCATCATTGCTGACATCATCAAAAAATTGTCGCGTGGCCCGAACTTTCGGTGGTCGCCCTGGCGGATTCTGTTTTCTCAGTATAATGCTGTCCATAAACATCTCACAGCACCAGTATTTCTCTCTTGATCGCTTTCTTTAAATCGCCTACGTCTCCTCCGTTGAAAGAGACCTTAATGGTTGATTCTCACTGAGTTTACACCAGATCTGGTAAAACATAGTTATGAGTACATAGAGTAGAAAAAAAAGATATTGTGTAAATTTATATTGGAACCTCCATATATATATAGTCACTTCCAATATAATCACAAAATCAAATATAGTCAAATTTTCCCAACTTACTATGAAGCATAAGAAATTTGACTCCATATAGTCACAACCTCTTTATAATCAGGGTTTTTCATATCCCGAGGGTGTGGTCAGACTGTATATATCTAAAGTCGTCAAACGCTTGTATTTTATATATTAATCATATTCACGGATTAAATTTTGTATTTACCTCTTAGTAAAGAAGTTTATCCTTTTATAAAATACAAACGTTTGATGACTTGGATGTTATGCACCATAGGATAGACGACGTGAACTTGGGTTATAATGTTAACGATGACGATGACTATATTGAAATACATGTACCGTATAATCGCGAAATAACGGGCGTTATTTCGAAAATCGTACCCTCTAAAAATAGTAAGCTTATTTCGAAATAACGCACACAATATACATGTATAGCAATGGATTTATACCATGTGTACATTAACGTTAAGATGTAAGAAAATCCAGAGCCCACCCTCGTTAGGGCGTAACTTAACAAGGGACACAAGAGCCTACAAAAGATCATTGTTCCGACCACATCTAACCTGCTTTTGTAAAAGCTTTTTAACATGGCTACGGACTTTCTGGGAAATGTTTATATCGGTATTGATATCCTCCAAAGTCTTGTAAAATAATTTATGAGTTTTCTGCTTGTCCACGTGAATGTCACTACCTATGCAATAAAATTTACAAGTGCCCAGAACTCGTAAGGAAATAGACAGAATAATATTTTGTTATGACGCGTCTGCGAAGTAACTTTTCACATAAGTCATATAACACACTTACCAGACATAAGTATAATGCTTTATATGAAAACCCGTTTAAGCAACGAAAGTTTGTACTAGGTCAAAGAATTGCAGAGTTAAAATGAGAAAAGTAGAGCTACCATTTGCAACGCGTCAGTTAAATTGTTCGTGTTGGATGACGTTAATGACATTGTCATATAGTAGACTATGGCGCATAACATTTAAAGTCATCAAACGTTTGCATTTTAAGAAGTAAATAAAAAATTTAATCCGTGAATATGCTCAGAAAGGGCCTATTCTATCATATTCGCGGATTAAATTTGATATTTACTTCTTAGTAAAGAAGTTTATCCATTTTATATGCACCATAGTCATAGCAGATTCCGATCCTATTCCGGTCACGTGATGTTATCATGTATATACGTAGTAAATGGATCGAATGTACATGTAATCACTTTTTGAAAGATAACGATATTGTAATCATATATAATAAAAATTTTCGAGATTAATAAAATTATATAAAACTATTCATTTGAAATACATGTAAATCATTTATTAAAAATTAAGAGAATACTCGTGAAAATACATGCTTTACAAACTCATAATTCTATATTAAAAACCTATATCAATTAAGCAGTTCACGAAGAAACTACAAAAGTACTAATCGAAAATGAACTTAATTCTCATTATAAACACTTGTCCACATCTTTTATCGATAGAACTAATGACACCAAAGGAAATTGGATTAGCAATTATCATATTAAACGAAATCAGCAAGAGATATATACACAGAAGAACCCACAGTTTCCGAATTATTTAATGGATTGACTCTACTGGATACAGAATATCGCATCTTTATAAATAAAACTAACAAGAAACACGTGAAAAATCCACCTGATTATAGTTTCCGAATTATTGATTGACAATAATGATCTTACGCGTCTTTATAAACGAAATTAGCAAGAAATACGTGAAAAGCCCACCTGATTATATAGTTTCCGAGTTATTGATTGACAGTAATTGATCTTACGCGTCTTATTAAAAAAAGAATTTTAGTTTATAAAATAGCTACTAAAAATCTCATTTAAACGATATTTCAAAAACCAAGTCTCGAAGAAAAAATGTCTGCTCTGAACAACACTATCAATGGTTAGTTAATATTAAAATACTGCATTTTATCCATTTTTCTTAGAAGCAGTTTGTGTAAACTTTCAAATCCTATACTTTATATTAAAATTTCATAGACATCCATAGCGTTGAAGTAAAACATACTCTCAGTGTAGAAAGACCAAATTAATCACTGAATTTGAACAGCATGAGAAAATAACATAGCAACGTTTTTAATATGCTAAACAAGACAGACAAAATAAAGAACTCAAAATCCAATCATGCAATAAAACTCAGCATTCAGTCCTCAATAATGATACGTATATCCAAAATTACAAATGAAAATAATAAAAATGGGCTTCTTTATAATGTGTGTGACCTTGAAGAGCATGTGGCTATCAACTTTTGAAATAATAAGGAAAAGGATGAACACGTTGAATTCTCTGTGATAAATAAAACTTGAGAGAGAAATAATTGATGAGAAAATGTTATTACCTAGATTTAATCAAAATAATTTTGTAATATCATTAACATTTTAATAATACCTCTTCAAGCTATTATTGGAAACTTCGGAATCTTTACATAAATAAAAAAAAATAATTAATATACAGGATATGCAACAGAGTACTGATTATCAATATAAGCATCTAGATAAGCCTGCAAAGCGAATAAGTGAAGTGCAATCAGGCAATAACAATGCAATAATTAAAATCAATTTACATAAACAAGCCATAACGATAATATCTGTAAAGCTTCTAATAGCTCATAATCATTCTATATATAGAGAAACTAAATTACTTATAAATGTTATAATATGGATACAACAACACATCAATTAGAACTTATGAAAAGTTGAAGTTTATAAATGACTTAGTAATAAAAAACGAATTAATTTATTGTTACATACATATTAGCAAGTATATTATTGAATATTTAAATATTTGGCAAAGTTATACTAATATAGTCAATTAAGTCAAATCTGCAAAGAATTTTCTGGAATAAAAAGAGCTAATGAACATGAAATACAAAGTAATTCAGTGTTGTAAGAATGATTTTGTGTATTTATTATGATTTATTACTTTATTTTTTTAAATTTTACAGAAAATTATATTAATAAAATTATTATTAATTTAATATTCAAAATAATTCAAACTTTTTGCAGTAAATATCAATTATGGTAAATATAATATTTTACTTGCATATATATATATATAAGAATATCTTTTAGATTTTAATAATCATATGAATATATAAATTAGAATACTTAGAGAATTTTTTATTAGTTTGTAAAATAAAAAAATTTGTTCTTGACAAGAATTTAAAAGAGATTGCTATTATTTATAAGATTTAATTTGAATAATAATTATTTAATTTTGTCTTTGGCATATAATATATACAATTAAATATAAATAAAAAACAGTTTGAGAAAGTTAATATACAAAAAGCTAATAAAACATATTAATAATTTAATTTTATTAAATTAATTTGAATTTCAGAAAGATAACTAAAGTTCTAAAATTTGGTTTAATTTAATTTAAATTTGATTCAAGTTTAACAAGTTTAGTTTAATTCAAATTTTTTAAATACATAAAAAAATCTGATTTCAAATAATAAATTTTTTTAAGCATATTAAAAAATCTGGTTTAAGTTTGATTTAAACTTGAATTTTTTTGAATATAACAAAGTTTGATTTAAGTTTAATTAAAATTTTAAATCTTTTTTAAATATAATAAAAGTTTAATTTAAATTTTATTTGAATTTAGTTTAAGTTCAAATTTAAATTTGATTTGAATTTAATTCAATTTAAATCTGGTTTAGTTTAAATTAATTTGAGTTTGAATTTGATTTAATTCAAGTTTGAGTCTAATTTAATTTGAATTTAAATCTAATTCAAGTTTAATTTGAACTTGTTTAGTACAAATTAAAAAATATTCAAATTTAATTTAGTTTAATTTGTATTTGTATTCAAGTTCAAGAACAAGTTTAGTATATAGAAATAATTAATAAAAATCAAGCAAATTATTTTTTTCAAAAATAAGTTTTTATATTAAAATAATAAAAATAATCAAAAATAATAAATTATACTAGTAATATTTAATACCTAAAAAAAATATAAAATTTATTAATCTAAATTAAAATTATTTTTATTCAAAATTTTGCAAAAAATATTTTTTGTTAATAAATAAAAAGTAATTTTATAAATAAAATTTTAAAATACAGATTATTTTTAAAAAATTTATTTTTATTTTGTTTTATTTTGAATTTTTTATATATATTAATTTTATAATTTAATTAATTAAATATTTTAATTTTGTAATCTAATTAATTAATTTAATATTGATATTTAATACTAATAATATAATTTAATAACATTAAAAATAAATATATTAATTATTTTTTAATTAATTATAAATTTTAATTTATATAATAAATTTTAAGATATTATATTTTAAAGTTTTTTTATATATTAATTATATATAAAATGTAAAAGATAAATACTAATTATTACAAAATTAAAATTTTATAATTTGTTTAATTTTTATTAATTTACTTTTATATATTTAATTTGAATTTAAATATAATATAATTAGTATTTTTATTAGATTTTGTTTGAATTTATATTAATAATCAATTAAAAATTAAAAATAAATAAATAAATATAGTATTATTAATATAAATATAGTATTATTAATATAAATATAATATTATTAATATACATATATAATTATAATTCAATATATATAAAATTATAATTCAATATATATAAAATTAAAATAAAAAACAAAAAATATAAATTAGAAATTTAATTTATTTTTTTAAATAACTTTATATTTATAATTTAAAATATTAATTGGATTTAATTATTTTAGCACAAAATTATATTTTTATTAGAAATTATAATTTTTTAAAAGAAAAAATTTATTTCGAAAATATAAAAATAGCAAAAATAGCTAAATAATTATATTATTTTAATAAATCAAGAAAATTAAATTTAATAAATCTTAAAAAAAAGTAAAATTTTTAATATTATAATTAATTATTAAATAAAAAAATATTTACTTTTTACCAAGTCAAAATATCAATTTTTTGTTAACAAATTTTTCAAATATATATATTTCTTTAATTATTAACTTTTTTATTATTATCATTATCAAAAAAATCTGTATTCAATTTAGATTTTACAATATTTTACTATTATTATTTAAAAAATATATAAAACAAATAATATTAAAGAATATATTTTGTTTCAAAAAATTATATATTAAAAAATTATATATATTATATAAATATATTAAAAAAATTAATATTATATTATATTAATTATTTTATATTTTATTAAATACTTTATATTATAATATTATAATTATTATATATATTTTATTGAATATTAGCTATAAGAAATATTATTCATTAATATTAAATGATAAAATAAAGTATAATAATTATAACAAAGTTAACTTAATAATTCTAATAAAGTTAATATATAAATTGTAACTAAATTAATATAATAATAATAATAGCAAAACTAGTATAATAATACTAGTAAAATTATATATATTTTCATATTTCTATATTTGATAATTTTGATATTAATATAGTTATCCAATTAATAATTAATAATTTATTTGATTAATTATCATAAAAAAAAGATAAAATTAATTCTACTATATATAAGTAAAATTAATATTTAAATTATAATCAAAATAGTATTACAATTAAATCTCTTTATATTTATATTTGTTTATAATTATATTTTTCTATAGTTATCTTATTTTACTTTCCTATTTATATATAAATATAGTAAAAAAATCTCTCTATAATTACATTTGCTTTTTCAAAAATGATAATTATAAAGAAATTTGAATATATAATTAAAGTAGCATTTATAAAATTATTAAATATTATAAAAGCAATACAGTCTGATCTCTTTATAATCATATTATATAAAATTAATATTTATTAATGCTATATAAAAAATCTCTTTATAATCACAAGATTTTTATAATCACATTCTTTTAAAATCAATACTTAATAATGTTAAATAAAAAAATTTCTATATAATCACAACCTCTTTATAATCACCCATTTATTTTTTTTATTAATAATATAATTATATAGAGATCAGATTATATAATTTAGCTAGTAATTTGAATAAGTTTTTAGTTTTAGAATTAGAACTTTAATAAAATATGTATTTCAAGTTATATTTTGTATTAGTTTTGATCTTGAAAAATAAATTACTTATAATAAATTATTTTGTTATTAACTTATAAAAAGTTATTTGAAAGATATATTGTTTTGTGTTATAACTTTTGAAGTTATAAAGTAAACTTATTAAATTAGTGAAGTTATTCTAGCTCGTTACAATACAAATACATGTTATCTATCTTTAATCATAGTTTTTAATTTCTTTCACCATAAAATTTTAGTCTTTCCTATCTTTTAGTTAAATACAAGAATAATATGTAAATAACTTGAAATCCATAAAAATGGTAAAAATTCAAATTATACATATTATTGTTAATAAGTTTATTTTGAAATAACATGCAATTAATTTTTTTTTGATAACTATTGCTCTATTTGAATTTTTACTGTTTTAAGAAAAATTTCTTCATTTTTTTTTTATATCTTCAATATAATCAATAATTATATTAAAAAAAAAAGAGAGATATACAGTAATTTCTTTATGGTGTATCAAAAAAAAAGCTACTCCGAAAAGTTATAAAAATGCGATTTTTACTGGTGTAATGGAATATCGTTATAAAAATCGAGGTAGTTATTGCAACTTCTAATGCTAAATAAAATCGCATGGCACTACTTTGTTGTTGATGTGTCTGATCACCATGTAAAATCATCATCACATCGTTATTGTATTAGGAATCGATGTGACACATACTCATGATAAGTTAATAGCCAATTAGAACTTTATATCGTAGGCGGTTGTTAGTCAAAACGTTTGAAATAGAGAAAATAAAGAGCCAGTAGCACAGTAGCAGCTAGTTTTTTATACCTAATGGCGATGCCAAGGTCCATATCAATCGCGCAAGCCGACGTTCATAGTTCAACGTCTATACTTAATTTTGATAGTCAACTCGATAATGATAATGACTACGTTGAAGTCATAGACTACCACCGAGAACCGTACTCGCCAATAACACCAACAGACGATTGTTATGAGGCGACGACGGCGACCGAAGCCGTGACCTCTCCACAAGAAATAACAAGTAGACGAAAAGCAGGGCGTCCAAAAGGGAGCAAAAACAAAAAAAACATTAATAAAAATGCAAGTAATTTTTCATCACTGGTTGTTGGTGGTAGCGCTGATTCAATAAGTTTCGCAGAAAATGGTAGTCAGCAGCAGCTGACACCGCCAATAGCGACACAGCAACAACTACAACATGTACCTAAACGTCCAAAAAGAAAAAAGTCAGAGGGGAGTACCACGCTATTACCACCACCTCAGCCGTCAATGATTGAAGTGCTTGTCACATTTATCAGCAAAGTTCAATGCAAGGACGAGCCACGTCGTCTTTCTCGTGAGGAAATGATACGCGTAGGCACATATATTTTTGATAATATATTATCACATTCGTTCGCTCGACCGTTCGTAAACCCGGTGCCATTTGACGCTTACTATTATCGAAGTCAAATCCCTAAATTGATGGATTTAACGACGGCTGAGCAGAAATTGTGGGCGGGGAAGTATAAAAAGGTTTCGGATTTGTATGCCGATATTATACAGATTATGGTGAACGCTGTGACATTTCATAGAGAGGGCGCTTTGATCTACGAAGAGGCAAGACAAATGTGTGAATATTTCGTCTCTGAAATATATCCATTGGTAAAGTAAGTAACTCATGTAATTTTTCTGTTTAATTTAGTGAATTCAATTACATATAAAAAGAGCAATTAAATCAACTTCTGTTATTGATTATCCTATATTTAGTGAATGCTTATTTGATGATGAACCTTCACCTAATATCCCACCGATGCCATTACCTTCTGAAGAATTTGATGAATCTTGTTTTAATCATTATAGAAAAAAGTGAGTGCTATTATATATAGAATATTTAAGACCTTGAATTTTTATGACTCATTTGTGTGCTCTTATTCATTATAGGATTAGTGATCTCTATTTAATACCCATCGCCACAGTCAGAGAAAATAAAAAAGTACTCACGGGCAATGCAGCTGAGCGACTTGAGATATTTTGTCACCCGCTAATTGAAATATTTACAGATAAAGAAACACCTCCGGTGAATTTCGATCTAACAGAAAGGACAAGAAACTTTGCTCGACTATATTGCACTGGAGGAAGAGATATGCTGAGTGGTAGTATCGATGATCCGTACGCTGTTGCCGTTATAATGTCCGATATTCAGTATAGCAAGACGACTGAGACGATGAAGTCTAACGTTTTGGTGGTGAAGCCCTTTGGACCGCAGCATGATTTGAGCACGGTCGATTTTCCCGAGATAAATGATGCACGATGTTGGGTCAGATGCGCGATTATTAACAGATTGATGAATATTAGTCTCAAATTACCGTGGAACTATTTTGGTAAAACTTTGCCGTATAGTGTCATCAAATTGGAGGAAGTGACTGTTAATCCTCAGTTTTATCATGACCTGATGGATTCGCTAGAATTCGATTATTCAAGGTCAAATCGCGATATTATTTTGCCAGCACCAAAGATTAATCAGAATGATACAATGCAAGGCTCGGATGATGACGAAGACGAAGAGGAGGAAGAAAGCGAGGAGACTAGTTCAGAATCAGAATCGGATGATGATTCAATATCATCAAAAGATTCGATAGCATCAAAAGATTCAATATTATCTTATTCTTACCTTTTTAAGGAGAAGTGCCACGAAAAGAAAGAAGTAGTGGAGAATATTGTGAAAGAATCTACTTATGACATCAATGATGCGGCGGAGAACGAAACAGAGAAAGACGTGACAGAAGAACCACATGATGACAATGAGATTAAAATAAAGCATAAAAATATTAAAAATATTGAATTAATTAATAATAATAACACCAATGCTTCTAATAAAGATCAAACAAAAGAAATTATCCAAGTTAATAATAATCAATCACAAATAATTGACATGACAGAAAAAGAAGAAAATTCAAAGAACATTAACGGAGAAATTAATGACAACGACGACGACATCTCGTTGCTTGTAAATTCTCCAAAACCAATGATATCAGAAGACGAACAGGAAATTATAACGCCACAGAATTTATCGCCATCGCTTGACCTTATAAAAGAAAATGATTTGATGTTTAATAATAATGAAAAATATAATAGATCAAGTCAACAATTAGATACGGATGAATTAGAATGGCAATTAGAAAAAGAAAAGTCACATTGTTCTCCTGTTGCTGAATTATATGAGAATTTATCGGAGGAAGAGGAAAAACAGATGGTAAAGAAGGTGACATCATCAAACTCGTCAATACGACGACCGCCTCTATCTCCGCCAAAACCTAAACCAAAACAGCAAGTTCAACGTCAACTACGGCCATCCACAATTAAACAAAAGCGAAAGGTACCCCGTGTACTCCATTTGTCCAGACAGCAGCCACTTAGAAAACAACCTCCACGACAGACTAAATTAAGGATTGCCACTACACCACAAACATCTCCCACAAAAAGTCAATTTACACCAAATCAATTAAAAGCTCCATCTTCATCAAAATCAACAACAAAAACTCACCCATCATCTAAATCTACAACAAAAATTTCTTCATCTAAATCTAAATCTACTACAAAAACCTCATCCTCCTCTTTCTCGAAACCTAAAAAAGCCCAACCATCTACGTCAAAGACAAATAAAGAAAAATCACCAGTAACAAATTCCGCACAACAAAAATCACCGATTCCAAAGAAGCGAAAAGCATCTGTATATGAAGAAGAAGATTCATATCATGAAATGGATAAGGATGCGGAGGAAGAGCAGGATCACCAGTATCATGATGACGAATCCATGCAAGAGGAAAAGTATCATCGACCAAACCATAAATTGGACTTGGGTATTAGAACTCATATTGGGATAATAAGAGTGGAAGATATTCAATCTGACACAGAAATTTCCGATTACTCTGATCAGGAACCGTCTTCATCTTCCAGTATACCAAATAATAAAAGTAGTCAATCCAAGAGTATTTGGCAGAGCTTCAAGGACTGTAAGTCTTTTTTGCCCTATTTAAATCAGGTTCATTAATTCATTTATTATATATCATTTACTTATATATCTATATTTTCTTTATTGTAGTATTGTTGGGCTGGTGAAGTTGAAGAAGGAGATTAATATTAATGTGTGTATGTGTGAGTAAAAGTAAGATGAAAATATACTATCATATAGTATTCATTTATTAATTAGCAGTCAATGATTAGCTAATTTGTTCTTAAATATTCATATTTACTATTTGCGAAAATTTAGGAAATTCCATTCTTTGTATTATTTGTAAATTTTTTCTGCTTACCCAAAACAACACAAAATTATATATACCTGCCGATACGTATTATGCGCACATCAATCGTAAATATATAAAATATATACATGCATAGTATATATGTATGTGTATGTATTTAATTAACTTGAAGTAAAATCATTCTTGGGTGAAATGGATCGGCTGTTTATTCTAATCATTATACATTCAGTTTATTGGACAAGGTTAAGTGATTATTGGGCAGCTGCTCTTGAATTTCGACAAGGTCAATTCACATTAGTCGAATAACCGGAAAATTTGATAATAATAGCATACCAAAAGTAATTAAAATTTTATTTTATTTTGTTATTTGGCTTGCGATAGATATTGTAATTCGTTATGCGTTTAATTCAGAATCTTTGAACCAATTGTTGTGTTTTTGGATTATAAACTTGAAAAGTTTAAATTTTTTGCAGAAAAAATTCTGAATGCCCTGCTTAGAAAAAATACAAACAGAAAATTTTATGTATAATCAAACCTCTTTATAGTCATATCTGAAACTATTTAAAAAGAAATGATATAATTTTTTAATTAAAAATATAATAAATTGAATTATTTATTTATAATTACATATTTTTATTTGACTTTTTTAATTACTAAGTGATTATAATTATAAAACTTCAAGTATATAACATGTTTTTCATATAATTTAATTAAATAAAAAAGATGATTTAATAACTAAGTGTTTTATGACTAAAGTATTAAAAATAAATAATCTATATTTTTTATCAAACAACTAAAATAAGCTCAAAATTTTTTTTTACAAAAATAAATACAATTATAACTTTAATAATAGTTTATAAACAAGTAGAATATTAGTAATTTTTTTATTAAATTAATTATAATAAGTATAATAAGTATAACTTAATAATATTGAAAAATTATAAAATAAATAATATAACTCTGCAATTAAGACAAAAAATTATATATATTCAATAAATAAATAATATTTAAATAGCTAAAAAATAAGATCAAAAATTTTATTTAACTATTTTAAAAAACTTATTTTTATATTAAAATATATAATAACTAACAGAATTATGAAATTATACATGTGAATTTATTAATAAAATATAATTCTGTTAGTTAATATATATTTTTTGTGATTTTTTAGATTTTATTTAACAAAATTGTTCTAATTATAAAAATTTTTTATAATTAGTTTTATATTTTAATTATAAAAAATTTTTATAAAACTTTGTAATTAAATAACTATCAGATAAAATCTAAAAAATCTAAAAAAATATTTATTAATAAAATTAAAAACTTTTATATAAAACAAAAAATTTTAATTTTTATTATATTTAATTTTAATTTTATTAGAAAAATAACAAATATTAAATAATTTTTATTTATTAAAAAAATATTATATTTATTTTTTATTTAATTAAAATAAATTATAATATATTATAATTTTATAAAATCTAGTAACTAATAATAATTTCTTATTATTTTTAAGAATTATTTAATATTTGATACTTTTTTTAGTTATTATATATATAATTAAAATTATTTTAATTTGTTTAAATAATTTTAATAATATATAATAGCAATAAAAAATATAATAATCTTAAAATTTATTAATAAAATATAGAAATAATATTATTATATTATAATATAATCTTTTTATATTTATCAATTTTAATTAATTTATAACAGTCACAGGACATGTTCCCCCTGCAGGGGTTCAGAATGTAATTCATATGAAAATTTTGATGTCGATCACTTGACTTTTATATGAAAATTTCA